CGAGCCTATTTTTATCAGTTTGCTTATAATTAGAACAGTTAATCAAGAATTCATTTTACAATTATTGTTCACTTGGAATTTAATTTCATTTCTTCAAGAAAGCTCAACTGGACAGGGGCTGTTTTATTCTTCCAAGTTTACTGGATTTATTGAAAGTATTGCTAGAAGGATTCAAATAGGTCTTAAACAGCGATTTATCAAATCTTTATTAACGAGTCGAAATATTTGGGTTTTTGTTTCCAAATCAGGATATTTTAATGATGATTACACTTCATGAACTTAAACTATAATTTATTGATTGTTTTGGTACACTTCAGTAAATTTACTTTTTAAATCAGTCACATTACCTTATTATAATTCTCATAACTACGGTCATATTATATTGATTGGCACACTTTTTATTTTGCATAATCTAATGTTATCATCATCATCTTTTTTCAACTTTTTACTTTATATTCACGTATAAACATTAAATTTGTTAATAAATTACAGTTTTAGTTAAGGTTCTAGTGATTAAATTAATTAGTGTAGTCGTGTAAAACCCGATATCTTAGTGGACTTTGACTTAGATTGCGTTATCTATGTGATATTTGTTATATTCGTCTTGATCAATTTACAATGTTTTTGATAAGATAAAAAGTGTTGTACTATTATCATTATTATTATTATTTACTATAACAGTCTTGCGCAGTTGATAATTCCATTTCTTTGATATCCAACTTTAAAAGTTATTGAATATAATTATACGTTGTAAAGTCTAACTTATCTATTCTTATAAAGATACACTCAAAATTATTAAAGTCAAAGTAGTTAATTGATCTTCAGACACCGACAAAAACAAATGAAAAGTGAATGCAATTGAACTAAAGCAAACGGATTCTACAATTTGAGACGAAAAAATCTACAATAGGAATTATTTCTAGTTTACTCTTTTTGTTAATAGCTGACTTATAACGTTAATTGAAACAATATTAAAAATACAACATGACATCCCTTTGAAAATTTGCTTATTGTCATAACAATATGATAATCATTTCTAGAGTTTCAACTTTATACAAATGAAACTGATTACACTTTCAAAAACCTCTATCATTAACTAATTCATATTAACAATATATATCAACCACAAAAGTACTTTGGAAAAACCAGTATAATCCTATCCAAAAGATTACGATTCGAGAAGTGTATGAATCGTGAATGATTATTTTGTATATTGAAATTTCCCTCAACAAATTTCACCTTTATACCACTAATTTATGCATCAAGTAACCCTTGATCGAATAGTATGAGATGAACATGTTATTTTACAAAAAGTCGAATTCAGTTATTCAGTTTACTACTGATAAAATTCTAATAGCAAAATCTATCCAATGATTTTGCTTGGCAAATTCAATCATATAAAAAAATATAGATGGATTTGTTGAAGTATAACAGCTGACTATTCCAATTTTTATGGTAAATTCATATATTGAATGGTGCATATTGTTAACTTTTGTTAATCATAGGAGAAACGGTTTTTATTATCAGGTCAAAAGCTTTACTGTGCATTACTTCGCCTGTTCAGATTAATTATGACTAAGTGTCCCTAAAGTATCCTAAAATGAAATCTTTATTCTTAATAATCTCTAGTATCTATTCAGTTACTATCGATTCACCGTATGTAGTATTGGTAAACAATGTTTACTTTACATGGCTGTGTAGTCGTCTATGTATAAATACAACAATGTTCCCTACATAATTTATAAATCGTTACAGTTTGTTGAGACTAAAACACATATGATTCAGAAACTTCATTTATTCAGGTCACGACAAATTAGAATACTGCCCAAGTTTAAAGTAGTAACCAGTCCAAAATTATTTAATGTGTTTATTAACTCTAATATCGATCCATTTTACAAACGCATATTAATGCAATTAAAAATGTACATTATGTAGATAAAAAGGAATTTCATTTTATTTTACTTTTCCTAAAGATTGGGCAACAAACTGCTTGATTATTGTCAAAAGGGACTTGAACATCCACCATCTAGTTACACGTTTTCTATTTAGTGCAGATACTACTTAATACATATGCTAATTTAATCTATTTCATACTTGAATATGTTAATCACTGATACTTTGAACAATGGGAGTGAATAAAGACGTTATTTCACTGGCTTAAGATAATGAGTCCAAACAAAAACGTAAATTAGTATTGCAACCTATGATTCTATATGAAGTAACATGAGTTTGTCTTACTGCTGAATGACTTAACAAATAACTTTTTGTAAATAATGAATATCAATGTTTTGCACTCACCAAACTGATATTATCAACTAATTTAAGTGCACTAATTGTGTAATCTACAGAACTTATACTAAATAATAGATTTTGACCTAATTGTCCAGATCATCATTTATAACGTAAACAAGGAAAACAATAATCAAGCTTCGGGATGTAAAATAAATAAAATGACTTTTACATTAGTCCATATCAAAATACACTTCTACGTTATATCATTATAAATCGCCAATATGAATCCTAATAAGTTTATTGAAAGTCAGAAAGGTTAAGGTCACATATATGTATTCCGAGAAAAATAAATCAAAATAAGTTGTCTTTAAACATTACTGACACAATAAGTTTCGACTCTGTCGAACAAAATAATTCACTTTTAAATCTCATTTCGTTGTCACCATATTAGAATTTAGATGCAGACGTTTAATTTTAGTTCTTCGCACTATCACCAATCCTAAAATGAATGATAATATAGTCGTTCTGACTTGTGGTCTTGTGCCCTATTAGTATATAACGTAACGATACCGCCAATGAGAGAACGGTGAATTATCGACTGGACCAATGACCCATAAACCCGTACAAGCAATCTAGAGTCCTTATCGGTCCTTCTTCCGGCCTAGCCCTGCCTGTTGAGTCCAGAACACCAATCTCAGCCTCCACGATATGATTCACGTATTTCAAACATACTAGGTTTATATACGAACCAAACAGATCACTTCACATCATAAAATAGAAAATAACATTTGTACAAGATTTATCCAAATGTGGTTGTGATTGTGGGAGACTGTAATTAATAGACTGGGCATAACTCAAGAACGGCAAATTGTATAATAATAGTCTATGAGTCAAAATAAAGCTTATGCTAAGAAGAATATGAATATACATAGTTTAGATACTTAACAAATATACAAATAAAATGTATGTATAGTATTATTCCATAAATAGATCCCTATAGTTATCATTCATAATTCTCGTCAGAATATAACAATAGTACCATAAGATATAATGGCGTTAATGATGCTATTAAATAACGAGCTAGAAATAAAGGTTTTAGAACATTTTGAAAAACAACCAGTTCATATTGTAAATGATTATCTGTCATAAACTATAACTGATGTATTTCCACACTTATATTGATTATGGCCGAATCAAGGCTATGTATATCAGTTGGTTTCTTTCGATTACAGAATTTAACTTTCTGGACATTTTAAAGCGATTTTACCAGTAAAAGCATGCATAATACATTTCTCAAGTGTTAGCGTGGGTACAAATGAATCAGCATTTCTTAAATAAAGAGTTCTCATAATTAACTGTGATTTGTTGTTCTGTTCTTAACATCAAACGTTTGTTATCATTGGTGTACATTAGTTTAACGAGAATATGCGTATTTTCAATTATAGTTGTCGAATACATACTTTTTATCAAAAACACTTTGATGGAGATTTTAGTAATTTTATAGAGTTGAGATCATGAGGCAATTGAAGCTAGACCACCATCGAAAATCTAGAAGCACTGGACGGCCGTTTCGTCCTATTATGGGACTCCTCAGCAGTGCGCATCCACGATCCAACACTCGCGAGATTCGAACTCAGGACCTGCCAGTCTCGCGCCAGAGCGCTTAAGCGACAGAACACTGAGCCGGCGTTCAGTGGTGTTAATGTCTAACTTTAACCAATCCACAAAATTGAGCAAACATTCACCAATGTCATCTCCCAACAGACCTGGTTGAACTCCACCGGTTACTGAGGAGGACTGGTTGCCGAGGAGTCCCATAATAGGACGAAACGGCCGTACGGTGATTCCAGGTTTTCGATGGTGGTCTAGCTTCAATCGCCTCATGATCTCAACTCTATAGAATACATAGTTTGTTTGGTTCATACTACTAACTAATTGCAATAAATTCTCCATAGGATTACGGCCGTTTGGTGCTGATAAGGAGTTTTAAAATATGATGAATTCATTTTATTCTGAAAATGTTCTCGCTTTATTCAATTATATATATGACCAGTTTTTACATTTGCTTAATAGACATCTATCAAATCTGACTGAATATAAAAACAATTTTGCTTCTTATTGTTCAGGAAACATCTTCACGTTTCAAACTTAAAACCTTATCCAGAATGACTTTTTTCAGGAGAGGATAAGATCGTCCACTTAGATAATAGGGATTCTTGAAGGAGTTTGCTCTATGACAGGTCAGTTTGTTGTTAACTATTACACCTGAAACTGACAATTCTTTTACAAGTGAGTGTGTCGAGAATTATATTTCATCAAACTGACTGAATCAGCTCATATAATTACTAATCCTAATATTGTATATAGCAAATTACTAAGTAGTCAGCTCAAATCCTTTCTAGGCAAATTTTCATTTTTTAAAATGACAAAATGTTCTGCAGAGCTCACTTTTCAACTAGTTCATTATTGTATTATATCTCCTCTTAAAGCAAAAGTCGGACCTATCTCCGTTGGTTACTGATTTGACCTTCAGTCATCTCTATGGATTAGGTTCACTATAAAAAAAAAGAACTATATTCATTGCATCTTTGTTAGCCTCTTATAAAAACAGTTCCTGTTTTGTTTAATTCGTAAAAAAGATGGAATGAAATACAGGTTTTGAAAGGAACACTTTTATCTTGAGCACATGACTAATGTGGTGAAGTTACAAAATCACCTACCTTTGTATATCCTTACTTTGTTTCATTCACTTGGTTAAGCGACGGCATCCAGCAATTACATCATTCTACGTTTTTATGAGAAAATAATAGAAATAAAAAACAGGAATTTAGCATGTCAGCTTCTTGGCAGTAAACTAGAAATCGCAAATACACTATATAGATCAGTTTTAAAGTATATTGTTATTTGATTTTTTGTTTGCTAGGACAATTCTTTATATCTCATACAACTTTATTCACTTACATTGTTGCGAAGATTACTGATACTATTCTTTACGTAAATCTGCAGTTCCTTATTGTGTCATTCTCTCGGTCAGTCTTATCATATTATTTTTTTAATCGATTTATGCCACATTCATAAATGGTGATTCAATAGATCTAAAATTTGTAACAAAAGTCACTTTCTGTGGAGGTTGAAATGTAATATTAATCACTAAATTACAAATGATGTGGAAAATTTACAATTTAAGGAACGGTGGACAACTTTCAGTTCAGTCTGTTTATCAAATCAACTGTTAATCTAATAAAGCCAAACGTAGGAATGTAAACAGTTAATTGTATTCATTATTTTTTGTAAGTAACTTATATGCACGGCAGTTATTTTTACAAGTGGAAAAGTTAAAAATGGCAACTTTCATGTCAGTCCATAACCCTTGACCTCTACAAGCATGACGATCCTAAAGTTTTTACATGATATCATTAACAAAACTCACAAGAGCAGTGTATGTGTATGCATCACTTAGTCGCTTACGATTTCGATTGTTATAAGTACGGGAGGATCTGTTTAAATTATAGGTTAGCTTCAAACTAGAAAAAAAACAGCTTCGCAATGTTTCACATATATTAGGGCACAAAAATGATCTAAGAGAAAAAATAAAGTCCCAGAGACATGGAAGAAAATACCAATTCATTTGCACTGTTGTGAAAGGCTACAAATTCATTTTGTTCTATTAAACTGTTCATTGATTTTTTTTACTTTAGAAGCATCTCACAGTACATATGAGATTAAAAATCCTGTAATTTCGAAATACTCCAGTGTCATATTAGATGAGGGATACGGATAACGTATTGATAATTATTGTAATGTTAGACGTTATTGTACTACAGATTGAGGGAAGTTATGTTTATGTTTTGTTGTTTTCACCCAATTTAGAACAAATTAAAACAACATTGCTCATCAGGTAACACTCAAGATAGCATTAATTATGCTTAAATCGTCAGAAAATTTCTTCAATACTAATAAAAATCAAATGGTGCCAGTTGAGTGGCTTTAAGTTGCATCATTTGGTGGCTGATTCAGTAGTGTTAATATTAATTATTTCTTTATGGAACTGATTTCCTTTGTCATCGGTTCTGTAGAATAGTAGATCAATAAGGAATACCAAGTGCTATGCCTTTTGATTTTCATTATTTTTAATTTTCTATTGATGCTTTCTGAAGTCTAGACACTTGTTTTCTCCACTTAAAACTCGCTCATACTGTAAACAAAGTTGATTAGTTCAGAATAGGTGACAGAAACCTGTTTTGTTTTTTAAATATTTAGTATTTAAAATAATTATCTAGTTTCTTCTTAACTTCAAGGATTTACTGTCTTATTAAAAACTTATACATTGTACTGTATTAGTAAACTAATCAGAATTCTAGCTGTCGTACTTCAGCACCGAACTTTCAGTAAAATTATCAGACATACCACATCAGATTTCTATTACAAAAAGAATTTTATTTAACATTTAACATAGATACTAACTTTAAGTCTTTGATTTCGTTTCCATGATTTTCATGATACATGCTTCAATGTAACTATGGATTCGTTATTATTTTTTGAGAGCAGCTTTAATACAAACAGAATTTCACTCAACATTCAAGTTTTAAGGAATTCGTTACGAAATGATTGTGACTAATTATTAAGTGCGACAACGCATATCAAGTAAATTCATTCATTGTATTTACGTAGTAAAAAGCCTTGGAGTCGAAAATTGACTAGAATTAATGATCAAGAAGTGAATACAGTGCCAGTTTGGTTGGTATTAACTAACTTATCAATTTTGTGCTCCTTTGTTTGTTCTAATTGATTTTGTTTTAATTGAATAAATAATCAGTTCTGACTGTTGAAATATATCTCCTGCTTTTACAACCTGTTTGTACCAAAATATTATGCTGTAGATGGCTAGCAAAGAGGAATAAACCGTTATAATCTACAACATAAAAATTTTCATGAATGGTCTGTTGGGTTTTTAAAGAGTTTAAGATGTTTCTGTAAAGGAATCTTAGGTCATTAACTGAGGTTGGTCAAAACATGTTCGGAAATCGATTATAATTAGATAGAAAGTTTGTTCTGTTACAATAATCAACCATAGAACACTCTTGAAACTATGCTGTTGTCATCAAGAGCTAATAAGGTATAAATTACAACTAAACAGCCTGATTTTATATAATCATTTAAAGTAGTTATTCTAACTGGAATCCATAAGATCGTTTCTAATCAAAGCGCAGCAAAACTTACCTAATACTGAAGATTACCTAACACTATAAAATGTATCATCAGTTTTAGAATACTCTAATAAGGAAGTGATTATTTATAGTATTAAGTACTACTTACATTTGCTCCTGGATATTTAGAGTTGATCGACATGATGATATGGACTGACTGGGACTCATCAGTTTGTGTTTATTTTTATCTGTCAAAAGACTTTATTTTTATTGCAACCATGGTCATTAACATTAAACTAGTGAAACTTAGCTTGGTATTGCTCTGAATTCTCTACGTTGGTATTTACATGATATAGACGCAGGTTTATAAATTAGATTTCTTTGATCACATGTAAGTGTGGGGGGCTTTTGTGTAACTCAGTAGACTATAAATCAAAAATTAAGTTTAGCGTAATGTGATATACTAGAGCAGTTAAAAGTTAGTGACCAAATTATTATAGATATTTGGGTTATAAAATTTTAAAAAAAATCATGTTAGTAACTTTAGCGGATTCCTTAAAAGTTGATTGTTTCTAACTACTTTGATGCCCCATCTCAATGAAAAAAACAACCGTAAGAGTCGAGTAATTTTAATCATTCTTTTTCAAGATACTTATTAGCTGCTTAGGACCTAAAAATGTGAAATAATTTTACGGATTGAAATTTATTTGGCTAACAATATGTCACAAGAGCTAATCGCACAAATATTTTGCATCTAAAACCAATAGAAGTGAATATCTGGAGTAACATACGTTGCAGATAAAACCATCTACTAACGGGCGATCAAATGAATACTCAAAAATATATTACAAAGTTTGACGAACTCATTTAGAAATATCAGTTTTCTAAAAACGATGAACTTTTTACAGGATTTATTAAAGTAGGATTACAGTTTAACAGCTTTTAACAGGCTTGAAAACGGAGGGGATCGGAAATCAGGCAAATATTATAAGATGTTTTGAATCATCTGGGAAAGACCAGGAAATAATTCTCAAGCTATACTTTCAGACAGCTCAGTTCTGAATAAGATATACTTTAACCCACAAACGAAGTGTAACTATAAGTTTGAAACTATCGACTTACATATATTTTTGCAAAACTACTAAACTTATTTAAATATAGTACATGAATAAGTTACAGATTGATAATATTCACTCATTGACTGCTTACGTTTTCGTTATGAAATCTATTATCTACAACCTGATGTATTCAATCCATTGCAGTGTTGTGTGAATAAATAAATTTAGGGTTCCACAAAGATCATTATAATTTTAATTATTCATATGGTGCTATTTAGTGTTTAACGAACACATGGAATGACTAGTAGTTTCGAGCTTACATATAACTAGCTTCTTGTCTTCATTAGTCGTACATTAATTGAAATTTATACACATCTTTGTAAACGCAGTGTTATTTCAAAAGTGTGGCTCATATCTGCTTTCATGAAGAGTGGAGTCTTATTCGCAAAGAACTAATTAGCTGTTCTATTCTACGGCAGAGCTCTTCGAGCAATATATCATTTATTCGAAATACAGCTTTCAAGATCTAAAAAAATCATACTGTCGTCAAGCCATTGTTAAAAAATACAACAGTTGATATCTTTATCTATCAAAGTAGGTATGCAATTATTGTTTATCAATACTTAAACTAATTTAATAAATTACATAGTAATATTTGTTAACCATATATATGTATGTATATGGTTGGATTTGATAGATATGGAATCATCATGGATCCATTCTCATGGATTCGATTTCTTTTACAAGCTCAACAGAAATGTGCGGTAATTGGATTATTCGGTTGTAAGTTCGTCATCGTTTTCTGATCATTTTTAGTCGTACATAATGCTTTTACTTGTCTTCCTTAAAATCCTAAAATATTTTATGATCTCCTGTCAATCCAGCTTCATGAGTGACCTTTAGGGAAACTATTATTCATCTATTCGTAAAGGTCTTTGTTGGAAATTATTCGTAAGCTTAATAATGTGGTTATAAATTCACATTTATTGATACTTCGGACTAAAATCACTACTTATACAGTAACCTTTACTTTTAATAAACTTCGTTTGGTTAATGGAAAATACTTTTCGTAGATGCTTTTAGTTGTAACACACTTGTTATGTAAGTGTAGATTTTTCATTAACATAAAATAAAGTCAGTTTTGTTTGATAATCATTGATTGCAAGGGCTGATTAGTTGAACTATTTAGTCAAGTTTTGCTTGAACACTTCAGATCTGCTTATCAAACATCATCAATATTCGCCAGAAAAACATCCCATTTCAATCAAGGAACTTTGACATGAGTTGTGTATCATTCGCAGTCGGTCTATAATAAACAAATTTGCCTTTCGTGTAAAATTAATGTTAATCCAGAGCTAAGCAGTGGTTAGATTTCTCAGCCTCATTTGTTGCAAACTAACTGACAACATGTGCTTTCTTCAACTTGTCCAATAATTGATTGGGCCTTACTAATCCGTTGATATTACTACTCATCTTTGTACAACATGAATGTGATCACCACTTGTGAGAGGACACAAGAACCCAAAACACTTTTGAGTACTTATGAAGATGGGATGTCAGATGTGATGTAAATTGCCATAATTATTGGTCCATTACTAAGTTAAAGGAATGTTCTCAAGTGGTGCTCAGGCCAATCTTATACCAAAGTTGCATGTTGACTCCATCTTTAAGCACCCCCTACTAGTCAGTCAATCACTAAATGTTATTTTAAATTACAAGCTTACATATTTTTTAAACGATGTCAAAATGTTTTTGTTTCACAAATTTCCACCTAGGTACTAATGTATTTATTATATTCGCTTGGTTAGTTGAACGTGCAATTGTTCGTGGTTTAGTTGGTGGTAAATTTGCAATAGCGCTTATTGGTTGGAATTTATTTTGCCTGCTCGCCTTCCCGATCATCATGATATTATCAATGGATTTTAGTCCTCGTACGTTACATATCAATGATTTATGCATTTAGAGATCTTAATGTGTTCTTCATTTGTTTTTGTGTATGCACATTCTTTACAAGTATGAATGTCGTATTCATTAGAGACGTTTAGTCCTATTCAATATATACATTAAGCAAAACGGTTGGCAAAAGACTCATTATGGTATTATGAATATTTGCGAAAGATTAAAATTAAACAGTTAAGTCTCATGTGGAATAAATTGTTTTTGAAACGTTTTCAATAAATGATAGAATCTCACTACTTGGTATATCTGTCAAGCAAATGAGTACACAATGGTTGGCTTGTGTCTAGTCTTCTAAGCTAGCTTTTATCGATAAGGTTTGGCGTAAGACTGTGTTGGCAAAAATAAAAGAGACCAGATAAATAAATAAATCTCAATTAATAAGCTGACGGACTATTCCGTAGTTTGAGTCACATTAGATTACTATCCGTTGTTATTGAAAGGAATAAATAAAATGCCTAAAAATCGTTTCTTTTTAATTGTTTTGTTATTTTCTATTGAGAAGTAAGATAACTTGAACAGTTGCTCATTTATACGTCTATCTGGAACATCATTTCTCTGTCCATTTCATATGATATTATTTGGAAAAATGAATATTGACCTAGAAAAGCACGGTATGAAATTTTTAACTGAGAATAGTACGCTCTAAGTGATATGAGAATAAACCTTATCAACGTATGTATGTGGTGCACGCTACTTATGTCTGTCGACATAAGCAGTATTTAGCACCAGTCAGAAGTGGAATGCCTGGCAGAAGGATGTTGAGAAGATCGAACTGAAGAGAACAGGAATGTAAACAGAGAGTGATTGTAATAACAATGAAGGACGATGAAGTTTGAGACAGTTGATGGAGGATTTACAAATGAAGTATTTAATGTATGGTTTTCATATTTTATGAAAGAACTCTGTAATTTTGTGTCAAACAATAAATTGGATGTCCACACCTGAGTTCTTGCACACTACACGCATATTTTAACAGGTCAGATGAATGTATTTTTATAACACTGTGATGCTGTAGTTTAAATTGTACAATGTCGAATAATCACAGTCTTGCCCTCAGAATATGCAGTTTAAACATTATGTTAAGTGACTTGGCAATTTTCTCAATTTATTGGTATAAACGATAATCTACTTTTAACTGTAGACACCACTCGTCTAAAACATTTATGTCTATGTCGGTCCACCGCGAGCAGTACATTTTTATGAGCACACACTGACACTAACTATTGAATAAGGATTGGTATTTTTACTTCCCAAACTACAAAAGTAGTTGGTATAATTAGTGTTTTATATGATATAATAATTCTTGTTAACAAAATTCAAATAATCTATCGCAGGGTATCTCTCTTACGATAATTTTTTCATATTAATACTATTTTAGTGTTCAGCGCTCCTGTTCTTGGGGTGTACACTATTGTTTTTCTGAAACTATTTTCGTATGCTGCTGTTAATCGATGGTGTCGTGAATCAAATGAAGACGTGGATAGAAATGCAGATGTGCTTTTGGATGTATTGGGAAAATCGACACCGAGATCAGCTCTTACTCATAATACCCATATCAGCAAACCTGAGAAGTTGAATCCAAAACCTATCAACAATAATGTTAATTCTCATCAATTCGATCATTATTCTGAAACTATTAATAAATATAATTCAGTCAATGAATCTCCAGAAGAAAATCATGTAATCAAGCGAAAATGTTCTTCAGTGTTAGAGGATCCAGATATGAACTTTCAAGAAAATGGAGTGAATACTAAAGTAGAGAGCAAAACCGATGACTTGACATTAAAAAAAGAAAACATCTCTGAAGTCACAGAACAAGCTACTAGAAATAGAAAAAACAAAGTTCCATATTTTTCTCGTAATTGGATGACCTCAGTAAATAATACAAAATCGATAAAGCATCTTAGCCAATTACATAAGAAACATAAAAGTCAACTTAAAAAATGTAAGATATTTCATAGGTTTATTCTAAATTATCTATGGTTATAATTACTTTATTTTATTATTGTTAAGTTGACATGTGAATTCTAATTGTATTCTCCCCTTTCCCTATTGCATGCTGTTGGTTAAAACCTGTAATCAGTAACATGTGATGCATTAACAAACGGAGTTGATGCTATGAAAACCAAAACATGTGCATGCACTCTGAGATGTTATTCAAATAAATATCTTAGAAAGTTTCACTAGATAAATATAATGTACCTGTGTGACACTAGAAGTAAAAATGCTACTCAATTACCGTAGTTGATCACCAGCTTTCAATTCCGGTTAAATACATGTTGATGGTATATCTCTAAGTGGCTTAGAGACTTCACAGCTAAACTTTACAAACTGTTTTGTTGATTTCTACGAAGTTACACTCTATTTTCTGTTCAACGATCCAAAAGCTGTTACACAGTTTATGTTCTTAGTTTGATGACTCATTTCATTCCTGTTTTCGTTCCACCCTTTATAATCAGGACATGATTTACACGGATGATGGAGAAGTTATTTCCTAACGCGTTTAATAAAAATTTACTATTTCATTATGTAGTATATTTAATTTCAGTGGTGGCGCATACCTCAAGGATCCATAGGGAACGCCTCATAGGTAGCAGAAACTAAACAATAAAATGGTTCAAATAGGTTTTCGCTGAAAATAATCTTGTCTAGCAGTTACATGCAAAATGATTATCTTTCAGTCTGTTTGATGTGACTCCTTTGATTTGCTTCGAGTATATTCGGTAATTTGTCGATTAGATTATAAAAAGATCCAAGAAACTTATACATTCAAACTGTTCATCTTTTATTAGTGCTTGCTTAAACATTAATTGTAAAAGAAGAATGTTTAACTTCTGACTGAAGAATATATTTTGAGCAGGTTCATAATGTGTCTTTTTAACAGATTACGAAAAGGTGGCATTTTCATAGACCATTCGCTATACGGTTCTCAACTGATATTTTAACTCATACTACTAAATCGACGTGGAACCAGTAACAAATACAAAAATATAGGTATTATTACCAAGGTTTGACTTGATGTTAAATACAGAAATAATTTGGTTGTGTTGGATTGATGCTGCAGCGAGTCCAATACTTGAGTTCCTCCTCGTGAGATTAGAATAATCGGTGGTCATCACATTAATGGAACTGATGGTGAGGTTAGTACACCCTTTATTCATTCATAAACACAGATGAGAAAGTTACGCTGTAACCTAATGTATTCTATAAGAGCCTTTCAGTCCAACACTATGTAGTAATTGGGTTTAATTTAAAGTTTTCTTGTTTAATAATCTATGTTATTAAAAAGTAGAGAAAACTACTTAATCAGTTACCATTTTGAATCCACACTTCTTCGGACTCTTTTCCACCTCATTTCATCATGACTGAAAAAATTGCTATTTTAAGTTAGAATCACGTCTGTAAAGATAGAACTTAACATTTCTTTCAGTTCTGATCACGTAAAGCTGCTCCCTGTCAAGGGATGTTTGATCATTTAATTTTTTAGGAAAAATAATGAAAAAATGAAGTAGTAACTATGACTGCAAAAGACGAAATCAATTTTTTTATATATTGTTTGGAATACGTTTGAAAACTTTAAGTTTGGTTGATTTATGGATGAATCAGAAATTTTATTTGCATCGAAGAGTTGAGATACCCCAAGTGAGCAGAAAAATGCAAATATATGTAGGCAAAATATTTCTAAGACAAAGTATCTCCAACCAGACTATAAATGTGTTTGTCCTCTGTTTCGTAATCAAGTATAATGACTTGTGACGTTCTTCTCACGTAGCGAAATTCTGTTGTTAATTAAAACTACTTAAAAACCTGTGTCAATGAATCTCTAGTAGCTTATAATCAAGCGTTGATAACAGTTTCCAGCCAACGTAAAAAGTAAACCTTTAGATTTTTTTACATCTACTGATTAACGTTAACAATGACTGCTAGTTCATGTATACATCACATCACTTATTTACACTGATAGAATGACAGTTGCTATAGTCAGAAAGTCACCAAATGTTTGAAATATTTCAGAACAGCCAGTTTTGTGTTTGCTAATTATGAGGATGATGTACCTAGCATAGTTTATACAGTAAGCCTCTAATCAGTACAAAATCATAAGTTTTAATTGCTTTCAAAAAGATATTTGTCTTCCAAACTTATTCATTCACGTTCATCTATTTTCTTTGATTTCCACATTTTCTAACGATTTCTTTTAATCCCAAGTAAAAATGATGCATTATGTCCTTAAAAACTACTAAATAATTGCATAACGTACATCTTAAAAGGTAACTATGTTTTCCGTAACTGTAGTTACACCTTTTCGAAATATAATACTTCGTCCAGCTTTTAGTGGAACTGAGTAAATAAGTTTTGCTAAAATTCATAATATTAACTATCTGACTAAGAAATACAGCAGAGGAAATTTCTTTCAGTGTTATAAATCATACCAAACCCAAAATCACCTTGGTTTAAGGATGATACTCTTTGTTCGTAAGGTCAGATTATACATAAGTAAGAAAATTAAAAAAATGGAGACAAATTTAAAGGAACATCAAAAGCAAAGTAAGGGTAAACAAATAATCAATACGAGATATATTATCTCATCCTTTTTTGCATTTCTGACCTTCCAAATAACTTCTAGTCAAAAAATCTGTAGTCCAACTACACCCACATGGTAACCTTGAATAATTTTTGTACGACCGCACCTATAGTTCTCTTTCCTCATTGGTGCTGCTAAAAGCTGTTGACTATGAATGAAAATATAAGGAATTCTGATGAATTATTTGATGAATCTATGTGTATTTACCAATTCAACTGCTCCTGTGGAGCCAGTTATATAGGGCGTACAATTCGTCGTGGTTGACCAAAGGACAGGTAAAGGGGATTAAGAGTTCTATTCTCGCTCACTTGGTGGACACAGGTCATCATGTTGAAGTGAATAAAGCTTTTAAGGTTATCTACCATATTCCATCTAGTTTGCCACATGGTTTACGAGCTCGTCTATTACACATAGCTGAAGCCATCGCAATTCATATTCACAAACCGAACCTTTGTATTCAAAAGAAGTTTGTACAACCATTCTCGCTACCTTGACCATCGGTATAGCGGAGTTTGTAGCATAATTTCGGGAAACAATTATCTTATTCCTTCCATTTTTTGTATTTTACTTATTCTCTTCATTCGTCTCTTGATTCTTACATAACTACTATATTACTGACCATTCATCAAAATATTTTGTTAGTTCTTTCTTCTCATTTTTATATATTATGCAACGTAGCAACAGCTTAATTTTCGAATAACTACTTTGATTAGTATTAATCTTTCTCTTCCAATTAATGTTAGTTTATAATCGATGTCATTATATAATCATTACGTAACGTATCTACTCCATGAGTGTTATTTAATTATTGTAAATCATATATATATTAGTGTAGAGCCATGATGAAAAAACTAACTGAAAAGAAATTTCTTCGCTCGATTCGTTCCTTTTTATTTATCAAATGTCAAAATGGAAATTTTCACTTAATTATGTTTTTGACAGTTTATGATGTATACGTTTATTTTTCTGAAAATCAAGCTCTAATAAATAATGATTAGCATCTCCAACAACTTTTCTCCACCCAGATAAGGCCACACGATATGAAAGAGTAAACTTCAGAAATATCTATAATCACTAACAGAATCTTGAGGCCAAACTATCCAGTCTGACATAAATCAACATCATCACCATCACTGGTTTAACTCAAAGCACAGTAAACTAACAAAGTAAATCAACAGTCCTTATTATTAGTTTAAGGTCACTATATGAATATGGTCTAACCAGCTGGTTTTGTCCTTTGTTATCCTATGGAGAGCTAGTGGATGAAATTATTGATCAGTTAATCGGCTTTTTGTATTCGGGCTTACGTTTGTTATCATGGCTATAAAAAATGAAATCGAAGCAAATTACCAGAAATTTTTATAAATGTAATTATCTACAATTAGTAGGGCCCTTATAGAGTACAGAAATTCACCGCACGATTATGTTTGTATACATGTCAGAGCAAAAAAGAAATACATAAAGGAAATCTCAAAGTGCTCCTTAGAATTTCTGTTGATCTTTTGTACACGATTATTTAGCGCGTATGCTTTGTAAGGAACAATGTTGAAGGTGTAATTGTAAAGTTGATAAAGTCCAACATTTGTATGACACATTGTACTCAGACAATAAAGTCGAGTGCCTCAAACTATAAAACTAAAAGAATTTAGATCTACTACCATATGTGACAGTCAGCAAATAACCTGAGTCCATAACTGACAGTTTTTTAGTAACTTTAATGTAGTATAATACAGTGTTATTGATTCAGATTCAATTTTAAAGCACAGGTCTGTACATTCTAAGTCAATAAGAAACGTCGTGTTTCATCATGTATGCATTTTATTTTATGAAATTCAAAGTCTATGTTAATATTTCTTACAAATAAATCATCCAGCTGAGGAATTATTGAGATATTCATCGGATATCACGCATTCAAGACCACATTTCTAGTGCAAAAATGCAGTGACCTGACGCAACATACTACATAGCTACATAAGTAATGAGAAAGAAATACAACAATAAACAAATGCAGATGGTTTAAATAGTTTGATTACCTCATCTACATTTGTCCAATTGCATTTTGATGTTATGGATTTTGAATAGTTAAAATTCCCAAGCAGTATTTTTGATTCATATTGGCCTCGTTTGTTAAACGTGAAGACCAGTATAGATGACAGTATTCTGTGAAATATTTCATCTTGGAAACTTATAACTTTATTTATTTGATGCATAGAAACTTACCAGATAGTTCACCTGTTATGGTTTATAATTATTTTCGCAAGCCTCCGGAATTTCATGAAACACTTAAGCTGGATGAAGACTGATGTTCATCTTGCTTCTTAAGTTGACTAAATATTTTGACACCAGTTATTATTTAACAGTTGAAAGAAATTTTTCGCGTGAAACAATTTTGAATTTTATCAAAGTCCCGTTGATAGTTAACTTGAAATTGTTTGAATAAAATTACGGGCATGGACAAATTACCGTGGTATAATTCGCAAATGAAAAACAGGCTTTTATTTCTGTTTAACAGCAAATTGAAATGTTGTAAGTCCCACTACTTTAATACCATACTATCTTTTTAAGCAATAACAAGCACTTATATCTAAAATCTGTAACGTGTCTTCTATTTTTTTTTGTTCCAGCTCAACATTCACGACTTAGTGTATGTGAAAGCAAGGATTATAATAGTATTAGCTCAGACCCAGTTGAGTTAGAAGTAAATGTCTTGGTAAATGATGAATCTTGCATGAAATTCAGTCGTAATTTATACGTTACTTATCCAAACAACTTAACACTATGGGATATATACTATTTCATACTTTCACCAACATTGTGCTATGAATTAAACTTCCCACGTACAATGACAATAAGGAAACAGTTTCTGTTCAAACGCGTTTTCGAATTGGTAAGTTAATATGATGGAGGCGTATATTCACAAATATGCTATTTTGTTGGTTTGGCTTTCACCTCTATAGTCAACAGAAGGATCAAAAGACTTTCATTTTGAATTCTTTCAGATGAAAATTATGTTGACATAAATCTTGTTTCATCGTTGCAGCAACTCATAATCAGAGAAAATGTTGAGATTTGCGTTGTTCTATTTATTATCATATATGATATAACAATAGGTCACCATATTCCAAGACTTTAATGATAATCTATTTAGTTTGCGGTTGTCCGTACAGGAAACTTTACAGTAATCGATTTTTCCCCAAAAAGGTAAATTTTAGGCTACTGAATTGTTTATTTCAGAAAAAATATACACTGTGCTATTTGGTCAAATAATGAATAGACTAATTTAAACAAAATTGTTACTGACTTTTATGGTAGAAAATTTTGAATTCCACGTAAAAAATTACTTGCTATCGAAAAAGCGCTTTGAATTCATGTAAAATTATCACTAAATCAGACAGTTATAAAACAAAAAGATTGAGCAAAAACCCATTCTCATCAGTCTAATGTTAGGTGGCTGTCAGTAGGGAACTTTGAATATAGTTGGTGCTTCCCAGCTATGCTTATCTGCACTCTTGAGGAAACTTATATTCCCTGTGAGACACGATCCCGTAACACCCAGATTCATAGCCTGAGACGTTGCCATTAGGACATCCACGAAGCAACTGACCTCCCATAAGAATGAGATATTAACATTGATTGGTCAGTGAGTATAAATCGATATCACGAGTGTGAGTTTTGTCAAAAGTAGCAATAATAAGTACGGTTATCTTGACCAGCTACTATGAGGAATTCCTGAACAGTTCAGCACGTAATTATGAATAATTAAGCAACCGAAGTTCATCAAGCGTCCAATGTCATTAGTGTGAGTTGAAAACAAAATGAAAATATAAGCAGAACCAAAATTTTTTTTATTTAGTTCAAGTAAAAAAAATGAATATTTGAGAAAATGGTAACTAACAATTATGTTACATTCAGCTTAGATGAAGAACCTGAGTTAAAATGTTCACGAGGAGTTTCAGTGGTTCATTGCATCATCAAATTCTTCGAACCTAAATTTATTAGAATGCAGATAGGTAAGTGGACTTGCAAACTTCGTCTGTACATAAAGTTTCAACTGCATTATTTTGAGAACCATGCGTTTAACCGCTAACAGAAGGTAAATTTACATCAACTAAGGTAGATAAGCTTGTATTTCTAGAATTTCTGAAAACACCCAGCGTTTCTCTTGTTTTCCAACCGTCCACTAAATTGGACCATACAGAAGTCAAGACAGTCCCAAGATTTTCTTTCACAATCCAAATCAGGAGATAGTATTTGGTGTCAATGTTGTGCATTTAGGATGACCAACTCCTTAGAATAGCTGTAAGAAATGTGCAAGACAAGTCGATCTGGTTTTAGTTGAGCAATCTAATAATAATGAGTTCGAATCACATGATAGTAAAGCTTTTAAAATATGATTTTTACTCATTAGCATGCTTTTCTAACTATACTTGTAAATAAATGTTTCAGCTTAAATTTTTTTCAATAGATATTCATCCCCCAACTTATACTCTGCTTGATTCAACAATGGATCCTACCTATACTGTCAAACAGTTACATTCCATTCACAGAATCAAGATTTAGCTTGATTGTTGAACGTTGTTTGAAATTGGCTATACCAAATCATCTCATATGGTTACTGTTTTTCTACCTTGTATTTCATTCCCTATTAAATGTAATTGGAGAGATTTTATACTTTGGTGATCGATTCTTTTACAGCGATTGGTGGTAAGTTCATGATGCTGTATATACATATAGTTCGTTTATGACTCATTTTGAAGAGTCAATCTCTCCAGTTCTAATGAGTAACCGTGAAATTTGCAAAAAATAAAGTCAACAATAATCACAAGAATTCATTCAGAAGATTTGAAGATTTTATACAACCTGATATCTTGATAAATTCAGTAAACAAAAATAAGGACATTTGTAGAATAAAATGAATTAGTTTTATTTTGAGGCTTACCAACAGCTCCGAATAGTATAAAGCTGTAATTCATAATACTTTTATAAACATAGTTTTATATTATTCACTCAGTGAAGTTAAATTCAAAATGGCACAAGAAATCATAAAACAGTAAGAAAGCAGAAACTTGTTAGCGTGGCAGTTAAGATCGATCAGTATTTTTATTAAAAGAAAACAAAGTCACAAGATAAAAAGGGTGATGTCATGAATATGAATTGAAATGCGAAATGGAAACATTTTCTAATGGGTGACAATACGTTCAGCCCTCCCAGTTGATATAAAATTAAATTCACGGGTAAATATCAGTATTTTGTTTGAAATATGAAATAGAGATTACATAAAGTAAATTTCATAATTAGAATTAATTCAGAATAACAATGAGAGGTTCAACACAATTTCTTTATATTTGAAAGTTGAAGTTTAAAGAGTTTGATGGCAATGATCTCTGCAAAGTGAATTAAAAGTAGCGTCTACTGTTTGTTAATTACGTTTAACGCCTTGACGATGTTCGCATTTCATTCAATATCCATTACGTATTTAGCAATCAAACTTGTGAACACCTTGAAGTACAGTTAGATAGCAAAAATCTCTACAAAATAATCCATTAATGTTACTTCGTTTTGAGTGGTTCGTGTAGCACCAGTTTGTTATGAAAGGTAATTTTGTGCATATCAGAGATTTCACCCATTTATTTTGTTCCACTGATATCAAACCATCAAGAAGAATAATTTTAATTAAACCAACACTTTTTAGCACGATAATTCCAGTTAATATGTAGTATTTACCTAGTTGTCTCGCAAGAATTTAAATATCAGGTGACTTTTTACCCAGAAACGTAGTTTCAACGTATAATGGATAAACCAGTTTTAAAAAATGACACAACCGATAAGTAGCACACTTCAAAGCTGTAACATAATAGGCTTCTGAAGTTTATGTGGTATAAATGGTTTCTGAAAGTCTTCAAGATTGAGTAAATTTTATTTACTTACCTATAATGCATGGGGTTTTTTTGTTAATGACAACCTGAAGTGTAATAAAGTACACACGTTTTCCACTTTAAAGTTGTATTAATAAATTCAGAATCGATAATAGCATTATTTAGTTTGGTAATTTCCTTTCCTACAAATTTCTCATCTTTTACCTCCATCACTAAAATAAACATAGCAACTACACAGTGGGAAAAGACATTCATTATATGATTATGTAAAACCGTCAAATTAAAAAAAAAATCATTTTTGTTCTCGAATTAGTATTTTGTTAAAAATTTAATAGAGGGAAAGCAGTGAATTTTCATTAAAATCACGTTGCGACCGAATGTACTGTTCAAATATAAGCTTGGTCTACCACCATAACTTGATGAATCCTTTTGTTCCCTAGTATGTAAAATCCATCGGCACAACAAACACAAAATATATACTTTATATAGTTGAAATCATGAGTCAACTGAAGCTAGACCACCAAGGCCATCCAGTGCTTCCAGGTTTTCTAAAATCTCCACAAATCTCCTTTCTGACAAAATATATATATTTCTTAGGTCAGAATAAAGACTGATCATATTATTATTCATAACTAAACGTCTTGTTTGTCTGCTTCCAGAAAAGGAAAATGAGCATTTATAACTTGGATATTATTATTCATTTGGTTGAGGCATACTACTAATTTCAAAATTATTTGTTACAAATTGGAGTTTTCTTCAGGAATAAACTGTTTTTAAATAATACATGTGTATTTACTTATCGATCAGATGATGAATATTTGAAACTTGTCTCATTTTACTTAGATACGCCTGTTACCCTATGTTGAGGAATATAGGCCGCCTGCTAGCATTTTCCATCCAACTCTGTCCTGAATAATCCTCTCCAGTTGTTTCCAACTGCTAATAATTCTTTTGATGTCTATATTAAATTCCCGATGCGATGTGTTCTTTGGTCCTCCTCCTTTACTTTTCCCTTCAGGATCCCAAGTTAGGGCTGACCTCGTGATGCAGTTTGATGACTTCCGCAATGTATATCCTACCCACCTCCAGAGTCTTTTCCTAATTTTCTCTTCACTTGAAAGATAGTTTGTCCTCTACCTCAGTAGGTCGTTGTTGATGATATACAGCCAATAGATCTGCAGTATCTTGCGTAGAAAACTGTTTATAAATACCTGTACATTTTTGTTGATGGTTGTAGTAGTTCTCCACGTTTCAGTTCCATACAATAAAACTGTCTTGTATTAAAGATTCCGACTTCGACATTGGTTGACAGTTGTTTTGAGTTCCATATGTTCTCTAATTGAGAGAATACTGCCCTTGTTTTACCAACCCGTGTTTTAACGTCTGTACCACATCTTCCTTGTTGATTGATGATGTTGTCCGGGTACGTGAATGTTTCCACCTCTTCCAGAACTTCTCCATCAAATTTAATATGTTTGGTGCTCATCGTTTTATATTAAAGGATCTTGATTAATCCTTTATGTATGTTGGGACCTACCGCTGTAGAGCCTGCTGCTACGCTATCAGTCTTGATCTGTATTTGTTGGTTTGTATAGGATAGAAAAACTAGATCATCTACGAAGTCCAAATCGTCTAGGTGCGTCCAACTTGTCTATTATATTCCGTGTTTCACCTCAGAAATGAAGGTCTTCTGATCAACCACCAGAAGGAAGGGAAAGTGGGGGAGAGTATGCAGCCTTGTGCGACTGTGGTCCTCACTTGGAATACATCTATCAGCTGTCCTCCATGTACGACCTTGCACTGTAGTCCGTTATATGAATTTCGGGTGGTGTTGATGGTCTTCTCAAATACACCATAGTTCCGAAGAGTGTTCATAAGGTTATCCTATCTACTCTGTCAAATGCTTTCTCATAATCAAGGAAGTTGATATATAGTGGCGAGTTCCATTCAATTGATTGTCCAATAATTATCTGTTGTGTTGCGAGTTGGTCGGTATACTATTTAACCTTGCGTCTACTGAATCTTTCATTCTGTTCAACAACACTGTGTTGAAAACCTTTTTTGGTACTATTAGTAGTGTGACGCCTCTGTAGTTGTCACATTCGCTCAGATCTCCTTTCTTATTAAGATGTCCTTTCCAGTTTGTTAGCACTTGTTCTTCCACCTAAATCTTCCTGAGTAGAACGTGGAGCATGTTTGCAGTCACTGCTATGTCTGACTTCAGTGCTTCAGATGGTATGTTGTCAGGTCCATCTGCTTTCCCTCTTTTGATTTGTTTGATGGCCATCCTGTTTTATTCGATCGTTGGTGGAGTGATAGCTGTGGTAATGTTTGTGTATACTGTTTTGATATCTGGTGGATTCAATGGAGCTAGCCTATCTGAGAGTTTCTGCACCCATCTTTTCCTCTGTTCTTGAGTCTCAGTGATTAGCTTGTTTTCTTTGTTCTTGACTGGTCCCCTGGTTTACTGTGTTTCCCTGTTAGTTTCTTCGTCGTGTCATATAGTTGTCCTATATTTGCCTCACTTGCAGCGTTTACTGTTGTCGTTCCTAGCTCTTCCACGTATTTCTGCTTGTCAGCTCTTGACCTTTTCTGTTCTTGTTCCGCTGTTGTTAATTGCTGTCTCTTTGTTCTTCCTTTCTTCAATCTTGACGAGGTTTTCGGTAGAGATCTATTACTTATGATGATGCTTGTTGCGGCCCAGAACCTCCTGACACGTTCTTTGATCCCTTTCTAATTGTCCTGCACAGTAGTTTCTTCTTCCGAACATTCCATGTACCTATATTGATTGTTAGGAGGGGTATCGGCCTTGTGATTTTTGAAGAATCTCGAGTTTCACTATAAGGTGTCATAATTCTTCTGAGTGAAGGTCCTTCAACACAGAAAGCAGAGTTTAAATGTTTGAAATTGTTTATTGTGGTTAGTGTTTTTTAGCAAAGTTGTTTTCTACGGGATGGGGATGCTGACCCCATGTTCAACCCTCCTCTATCACCCTGGCTTGGGACTGACATTCTCCCTAGATAAGCTACAGGAGGAGTTTTATCTCGTCTATTGAGTTTTTAATTAAAATGCTGAACCAAAATTTAAATCTGAACTTATTTTGTCCCACTATATTTAACACAAAGGTTATTGTAATCCAGTGAGGATGAACTAACACCTTAGAACTCGTCAGTATTATCCAAATGCATCACAGAATATCATTGATGATCTTTGATCGAATTTATATCTCTATTTAAACTTTGTAGTTTGTACATAAGAACTTTTGTCTAAATTAGAGCGAATAGTTTCATAATGTTTGTAGTTCGTGTTTATTACTTTTTTCTTATGTTTGATCTCATATTATTTCTGCATTTATACAGGAATGCGGAATCTGTGCCAGCGTTTTGGTCAAAATGGAATATTCCTGTCCATCGTTTTGCTAGGCGGTAAGTCATGTCGGTAACTTTCGTAATTAACTACAAATTATTGAAGCAGCTGTTATTGTAATGAGTTCTGATATTATTGTTTCGGCCAACGTGGAATAATATAGAAATTAGATCAATTTGATGGCTTATACATATGTCATTTTTATTCAGCTATATATAATTTCACTTTCTTAAGTTTTGATAATTTTATCGACTACTCAAATAGTAGATCAGATTTAAGCGGGTCACACACACACACGCTAGCAACAATTTTTTGATGGACTCCATTTTGTTCCATGTAACAGAAAATAAATTTGAGTAAATTTGTCTAGAGAGTCTAAACTGTTGAATAGCAACAGAGAATCGACGAAATTTACACATTTACAAGAATTCGGATGCTTGTGGAAGATAAGATCTACTCATGAATCTTAAACTATAGTTCTGTTGTTATTATCTCGTTCAACACCAAACATTTTCATCTTTCAAACTTACCTAGTAGTTACAGGTATGCTTTTTGATGTGACTCAAGTTTATGCGATAACTAGTGACAGTATGGTGGTCTAGCTTCAATCGATTCATGAACTCAATTAATAAAATTACTATAATATCCACAAAACCACTTCTAGTATTAATGTAATCAAACTAAAGTAGGTGTAGTGTGGCCTAAAACTACATCCCAGTGCTTGGAATCTTAGTGTTTTGAATGCTTCTACTAAAAATGTGTGTTCGAAACTTTAATACATTCTAGATTCTATTGACAATAATCATTTGTGTTGTATGTAAGTCATCTGTATAGTTATAATGCCAAACATGATAACACCGAGTAAGTAGTCTAAACAGCATTTGTTTTTACCGAGCCAATATAATTAAGGTTATATTCAAATCGAGATAAAATAATAATTAGGTCAACCAGTAATCAGTAGATAAACAGATAAAGGTTTAATTCATCAATTATTAAGAGAAAAGTCATATTCATGCGATAATAAATCAGTTATCATCATAATCATTAATAGCACTCCAATTAGTAATGATAACATCAATCATGAGAAGTCATTATTCAAGTGTATGAAGGCAGAGTGGCCTGTTATTTATAGAGAATATGTGAAAATTCACCTATTTTCCAAGCGTATTCTAGTTTCTTATTTAATCAATTTATCTTTGAGACTGAAAAAGTCAACCACGAAATTTATGTCATGTATGTGAGGTGCTTTATTGTTGGCAAGTCGTAAAACTCGATACCAGGTTAAGCCATTTAAGTGACATTGATTTTTTCTATGTTTATAAATTGGTTATTTATCCTGTGTGAATTTAGGCTCGAAACAATTATTCATTACCAGGTTCGTGTACATTCTCGTCAACTCTAAGAACGAACGGTATAATTCGTATAACCCTAATTTTTAAGACATTCACACACATCATTCAAATGATCTGCTGAAATTTTTATCCGCATGTCGGACAGTGCCTGCATTCTATAACTTTTTACTTGTAGTAGTTTTGTTTGGTTAAACGACTTTCCACTCATCCATTACTTATTGACAAAAATGAGTCCAAGATTCCAGGTAAGCACAGTCCATAGGTTGGTCATGGTATCCAGCGTAGCGGAAATGTCAGTCATTGGTTATAACCTCTAGTGAAGTACATAATTAAAAATTACCCACCAAATCCAGATCTCAGTTAAAATAAATCTGTGTACATGGTGAGACTTTATCGATAAGTAGTTTGAAGCTCCTTTTAGAGTATTTTATATTTAACTTTCATGGTGTAACAACTCTTCTCTTTTGAAACTTCAGGCATATATACATACCACTTTTACAGTCAGGCTTCAGCCGCTTCCAAGCTGGTTTAGTTGTTTTCATGATTAGTGCATTTTTTCATGAAATACTTGTTTCGGTCCCATTGAAAATGCTAAGATTCTGGGCCTTCTTTGGTATGCTAAGTCAAGTACCATATGCCTACATAGTTTCACTCTTATTCCCAAATGGTGGTCAAGGTGGTAACTTAGCCGTATGGCTTACGTTAATAATTGGTCAACCATTAGCTATTCTCGCTTATTTCCATGACTATTTCATAACACATTATAATGTTGGTGGAATATAAACAACTACAATCAATAAATCAGTAAACGAGATTTTTTGTTATTTGGTTTTTTGTGATATTCTTTCCTTACTCGTTGTACAGTGAAGACTTATCCGTTTAATTAGATATTTACACTCGACTATATCAATGTTGTTTTTCTGACTAGTAATTAATGGGGTGCTCATTTTTAATGTTGAATAGTTTTTCGATTGATAACTGTTAAATTCATAAAAGTGATTGTCTGGTTATTCATTATCCCATATATGCCATTCAATTTTCTTGCCTAACTTTCCTTTTTCTTGCTTGTCGTTTATCCTAGTTCTGGCTATTTTTTTATTCTGGTGTACAAATACTATTAAAGCAACGAAAAACTCTTGTCATTAATCTAATTTTTTGCCTCTTTTTTCATCACTGTAATTTATTTTCCCTTTCAATTGAATTCCTACTTTTGATGTCATTACAACCACACTGTTGGTACAATGTGTTTAACTGATTCAGTATCTGTGTTAGTGTTAACTATTTATAAATATTATTCTTAACACATAAAAGTTTATGAACAAAAGTTCATATTTCTAGGTTGGATTTATGGCATCAGTGCTTTCAGATACGAAAAATAGAGAAGTAAAAGCGTTTTTCATTCCATTTGGAACTATTTGAAATGTTTGTAAGAACTTTCGTCTAATTCGAACTGACAGTTTCAGAGTAATTGGGTCACTAGTCAATGTAAGACATTAAAAAGGAAATTATATTTGTAAAAATTGTCATCGATTCAAGTTAAAATAAATCCAATGTTCCGCTCAACATTAGTGTTCAAACTTTTCCAAGAGGAATAATCAAACTTCAAAATTATCGAATATTAGTTTCTTGAATTAAATGTGTACTAAACAAATCCTCCAATGATGTTAACAACTTTGAATGGGGAATTTGTTGTAGTGCTGGTGTGAGTCATTTAGTGTATGGAGAGAAACCGTGATAAGATAAGAAGTGTACTTGTATGTAGACATGATGGGAAAAAAGTAATTGGTTATAAATGGCCTCAGGGTGTGAAGTCATTTATCTAACTTTTATTCTTGGATAAAAGTGCGATATCAGAGATTTTCGAACATTTTCTGTCCTTTGATGTATATAACACAATAATTTTCACTGGGGATTTTATGTTCATCGTTTAGAGCTGTTTACATGTGCTCTCCTATGAACTCTTCTCTGTAGCGCATCCAAGCTTGATAATGAAGAAAGCGAGAAAAGCGAGAGTTCGGGCTTGAGATGGGACCCTAATGAAATTCTCTTATTTGTGACACACGTCCACTAAATTACTTGAAAGATCTCCCAAAATGCTTGATATCACAAACGTATTGAACATTTAAAAAAATCGATGTCCTACAAATTGGTAGACAGGTATCAGGTTACAGTTGTTAATAAAATTGGGCAATCCGATAGATATTATAGTGAATAAAACTTATCATAGCAAATAAAGAATGAAAATAAACAAACAAATAATTATAAATCGTTGTGCTGAATTAGCTGGTTGTTCATCGCATCTCCAAAAAAATTGACTGAATACAACAAATTCTAAGTAATAAGATGAAATACAAATTTATTAATTATTAGCTGCTATGGTACAGCTAATTTTATTCCATCCCCAATTCATATTGTTTGGGTTCACCCACATATGTACAGCTTTAGCCGTCAATCTTTTTTTGTACTAACTAAAACGGTTTTGAAAGGTTTCTATTTCATTGAAGTCAACTTTATGTTCAGATTGTATTGAATGTATCTTCGACTTGTTTGATAGTTATTTTGGGGTCTTATAAGGATTTTGGCATATGCTTCAAGTAAATCTTTCTCTTTGTTCATGGAGAGTTAAACTGGGTCAATGTTATTGTAGGGTTTAAAAACGTCCTACTTCCAGTTCTTATCATTTGTTCAAATTTTGAAGCTAATTAAAAATCAACAATTTGCTCACTTTTGACATATTTTGAAGACTTTAAAATAAGATACAATAATATACAAATGGCTCCAAATTAGTTACATTGTTTTATGTATAATATCGATGAACACCTCAGTAGCGCTTAAATATATGCCATAAAATATGTTCATGCAAATCAAACATTCAAATTAATGCATTATTTATTCAACCTTTCATAAGGCTCAATATTCGTTCCTAATATTTCACAAATAGGGAAACTGCTGTTTCTTGTTATTTGTTTTTTGCAGAAAATGACGTTTCATAGAAGTGGTGACTCAAATATTATGTATCAAAACGCTGAAAAATTAAAGTAACTTATTACAAACGGAACGTAATATTTAACTTCAAATGAACAATTTAGTTTATTTATTTAAAGTTTTGGAGGCTTAGAGTTCGAGGATAAGACATTTTAACGGTTGTATAATACAATGCTTAGTAAAGCTTCCAAATTTTAATAAATTTATCTTTAGTTTAGATTCAGTTTATTGAAGTTAATTAGGTTAAACTGGACAATATACCTAACATTTTACCTTACATTTTATATCCTCCGTTAATCTGGAGAAGTTTATTGTGCCTATAAAGGAAATTTTCAATATATAGATGAAGCTAGTCAATGAACTTCTGTAGTTTTGAGGGTCAGAAATCTATAATTTAGACTTTTTAAATTTTTATATTCGTTGTTAGCACTCACAATAGATGGGTACGTAAGTCATCCATGAGGAGAATTTCTGTAAACCTTCAGTAAAATAAAACACGTGTCTGCACAAATTTCAGATAAAGACTATGGAAACAAAAGTGAATTATTATAATATAGAATATATCTATCAGTATGCTAAAACCAACATGTTATTATTTATTGAGAAAATTAGGTTGAAGCGAATATATCTGGCCTTGCTGGTTGGTCATTACCAGCAAACAGTTATCACAGAATATATAGCTAGTTATTATACGTGAGTCTAACATGCTATTTCAAACTATTTACACAACTCCTGGCTATATACACGACAAACAATTTGACTCCTTACTGAATATTTTGCATTTTCGGCCTATATTGATGTTATGAACAGGGCACTTCTGACGGGTGAATGCTCATCGTTTCGCATAACTTTGTCTCGCATCTCACAAGAAACAAGAAAATGGTAATTAGCTTCAAGATTCCTGACTTCTAATGGCCCTATATTTGACTCCAACTGGATTGTGTGCTGATTGTCATCGAAATACACATGTCGGCTATCGTCGTATAATTTGTCGACTTAACTCGCGTTGATGAATAACGGAATTGAATAATTCCAATACGAGAATGGATTTCTGAATACATATATTTTGTACACTCATTGATTTGAACAGACAATCAGAGGAACGAAGTGAAGAGAAGAGAGAGAAGTGAAATGAAGCACGGTGAAGAAGGCGTGTGGGCTAACTTAATTTAATCAAACTTTAATCGATATTTATAGTCACACAAAAATAAGCTACAAAAATGTGATGAATAGGATAAGAAGTGTACACACATACGCTGACATAAAAACAGGCAGGGATGAAAAATAAGTAATTAACGAGGTCAAACATGACTCAAAAAGAATGTATAAATCAGCCTGTTGAAAAGCTAGAATAAGTTATGTGGGTTTAACATGGTAACCGACACTTCAGACTTTTATTGATGAAAGATAGTTTTCCACTGAGAAAATAATTGTAAGGTAAATAATTCCAGGGAAATAATTTCACAAAAAATGAACACGTTTCAGAGTCCATCCTCTGTATTTATTTATGGTTTTATGAAGTATTCTGTATAGAACCTACTTTCCGTTTCAGTGCGATTAGGTTAAACAGGTTTTAATTAAAATCTTATTACCTCATTAATTAAGGGTCAATGAAAATTTTATAATAACTTAGGCTTCAACCGGTTTATTGATTACCATTATTCTCTAACACTATTCTATTTTCTTATTAGTTATCGACCACTTCTCTAACAGCAAGGTCACAGTAAGCACTTTTGGCCGAGGATAGGTATAAAATTAAACGGGAAGTATCGATTAAGATAAAGAAATTTGAGAATGTAATTTAGCCAAACTGTTCTTTTAACGATTTCTTCGCTAAAGCTGTGCGACCTATAAATAAAACAAATTATTATTATCCAAAGCATAATTTTATTTGCGGTTAAAAAATTCTAGAGATGAAGTCTTTTTTGGTAAACAATTCTCTCTTGTTTTAGATACAAAATAACCAACTTTTCACTTTGTTTCATTACTCTATTATACTATGTTATTCCGGCATTATTTTTAACTGTGTTACACAATCAAGGTACACATACAAACGATCTTTCATGATGTAGATTTTCAACTTTTCGGAATATCATGATCAACAAATTTTTAAGAGACTAGCTTCACGGAATATGAGCAACACTGAAAGGAAGCTACTAAACTAATGCGTTTTAATAATTCACTAGCACTCATTAGACAATACCTAAAATGGTTGAGCTATGAGTTTTTGCAGGAAAGTAAATTTAGGTGAAATAAAAGTGTCATAACTGACTATATGAAAGCAATTACCATAGTCAAATGGATAACAACATGGTCAAATAGCCGCTTATCTGCAGATGGTTAGGAATAGCTACTATATGATTGAGTTCAAGGTCTGTTTGTACGCGTGCTATTTAAAAGGACAGTGGTATTGTTTCTCGTTAAATTCACTGATTTGATCGTAAATTACTCATCAAAACTACTGTTTACACTTTAATTGCATTCATTTCAGTTAAAGCGACATTGTATTTGTGTGTTTTAATTTTACTTTTGTTCATTTACTGCATCAAAGCATTCTTGGTCGACTTCGGCTTGATTTATTTGATCAAGGTTGTGATTTATCTAACATATACATCTTGTCTATCATTTTGGCTCATTTTAAGATGGTTGGCTCTGCACACAAGTGTGGACAGCCATACTGATTATTCCCTGCGGGAGAAGGGATGCAATGTAATGAATGTAAGAATTGGTCCTACTACCTATAAAATGTGCCCGAAGTCTAATTCTCATGGGCTCTGTATGTTTTGATGTTCAAGCAAAATATTACTCATTCAAGAAGCAATTAGTCTTCTATTATTAGCTAAGAAAAAGGTCGACGAGCGTCGAACCACTATCGTCCCGAGTAGTTCTAATCTGGGTGCTGAGATTGGTGGGAAATGGGTAACGCGGAAACGTAAAAGCGAAGGAGCAAGTAAGAAGTATGTGAGACGTTGGTTGAGACAAGTAAATTGATAAGCAGTTGATATCTATGGTGATAAAACTATTTTCAAAGTAATATTACAGTTTTTGCCATGTACCTGTGAGTGGCTTAAGCCAATCAGTGCAGAAGTGTAGTACTGTGCTTTCCACTATCAGAAATGACGTTTTTCTCTGACAAGTAGCTAATCTTGCAGTTCTTAATATTCTTGTGGTTGGTGTTGTGATTGGCTGATTCTATACAATTAGTCTTCTATTATTAGCTAAGAAAAAGGTCGACGAGGGTCGTACCGGCAACATGGATACTGATAACGAAGATTGTATGAGTGTCGTAAATGCTGCCATGGCATGTGCCAGACACCCAATGGTGCAACACGAAGCAGAACTTTGTACTCCGAAACAATTAATGAGAGACACGCCATTAGATATTGATAGACAAGTTGCTTTAGCGGCGACTGATGACCCAGCTAGAACCACTATCGTCCCGAGTAGTTCTAATCTGGGTGCTGAGATTGGTGGGAAATGGGTAACGCGGAAACGTAAAAGCGAAGGAAAGATACCAGAAGAGAGCGCCCGTATATTCGACAAGTCCTTGTTAAACTCACGTCTTGCGTATCAGGTTACTCAGCTTAAGTCCAAAAGGAAGAAAATATTTAGTCCTATCGTGGATGGGAACAGCTCGGCTTCACCAAATGTTGTTGTGAGTCACTCGCTCGACTCATACGACACTCTTAAAAGGAAAGCTGACAGTAAGAAGCCATTAACTAACATACAGGATCTGACATCACGGTCGAAAGCCGTAAACACGACTTTTAAAGAAGTTAAACAGGTCCCTTGTGTAATAATTTGGAATGTAGAAGATTCGAAAGACAACGACCCTGCTAAGAGATATGCACACAATCTGCAGTTAGTGGGATCTGTCATCAGAAATTTACTGCCCGATTAG